CGGAGGGATCTTAGGTTGGGTTGGAACATTCCGGTCTCCCCGACGGGGTCTACCGTGACCTCTAACATGTCCGAACATCCTATAAGAAATGGAGACAATATTAAGTTCAAACTAACGTTCTGTACCAAAGTGCCCCACACAAGATCCTCATACTTTATGCACAACCCAAACACGTATCCTCATATATACCTACTTTCAAGTAGAGCAATCCACATAATCACACCATCACATAAAGCACATACAAGTCACCCTCCTAGGATACTAGCTACTTCCGTGGCAATCAAGGACCTCCAGATGGAAAGAACATCGATCAAGTGCCTTTCCCAAAGGATCTCGATGAATACAATGGATAAAAGTTGTATCATAGAAGTTTAACTCCATACTCACATAACCACATAATCACACAAAACAAGCAAAGCATGCTAGGGAACCCATTGTGACATATGTCACTTCCTATGAGCCTAAGGTATTCAAACCTAGCACTTTGATACCAATTTGTAATGCCCTGCTATATCATACACAAATACACCACGATAAAGCATAGCGAAATACCCAAACACCATCTTTCTCATTGAACTAAGATTTAAGGAATTACAATTTCAAGTTTACATTTCCTAGATACTTTGAACTCATCTCCAAGTTCAATGAACTAGATGACATCACAAAAGGGAAAAGCTTTAAGGCCATGCAAGACAACAACAAAGTAATTTTTTTCTACAAGTTTAAATACAAAACTCTAAGCATTGGCAACAAAATATCTTATCGCAATCAATCCAAAATAGAGTGCTTGGTACATCATCCTGCCCTAAAAAATTAAATAGGGTTGAGCTATATGCCCAGTACAAAACAATCACTTAGTGAGCACTTTATACTCATTTCTTGAAAATTGTTAGTTTTGGGGTGAGCATGAGCTCAGTAGGTGATGAATTTAACAAGTTATATAGTCAATTTAAAAAACATGTGATGCAATGCAACATTTGAATTATAAAAATGAAGATGTATATAAGTGTCTATGTATGTGAGTGCAAACATGCAATGCATGAAATTTCCTCAATCTCCACATTATCCATAGGTGGTAAATATATTATGACATCCCAAGTATGAGCCAAAAAAATGAAAACGTATATATATATATATATATTGTTTTGTATATAGAAAATAGTCCCACATTTGCCTGCTCCAGAAACGACAAGGCGATGGGCACCCAAAACATTTTCCCTTCCACATTTGTCAGCTCCATAGAAGGCGGGGACGTGGACACCCAAAATCATGTTTTTCCACATTTGTCGGCTCCAAAAATGGTGGGCTTGTGGACACCCAAAAATATTTTCCCACATTCGTCCGGCGATACGTGTAGACAGGGCAATTGGGCGCCTTGACTCCCCACACGGGTACCAATTATAATACACAACTTAACTTAACCCGACTCACTGCCTGGACTCATAGTCAAATTACCCCCTTACAATCTTTTAACCTCCATCTCATCGTGATGCCAAGAGGGAATGTAAGATGCATATGATGCATGATTTTGGAAACCTTTAATTTTCCTAAGATAATTCAAAATCATAACAATTCAATATTTTTCACATCAATAATGAAGGATACTTCATAAGCAATTCCCATTATCATCAAGGGTTTTGTGGGGAAAGAGCTTCAAATCTTACATTCCACCCTTAGAGTTAAGTAAATACATTCAATTTTATGTTTTTGGAACTAATTGAGCAAAACCTCTCTTTATTGGACAAATCTCAAAAATTAGGGTTTATGAAAATTTGGGGTTTTCTCTCTTTTACAAAAAAATGAAGGTTAGTTTACACCATCAACTACAATAATCATCATAAATAGCCACAATCATAAAGTATTATCCCCTTATTTCCAAATCATTTACTAACAACACAATCTATACACAAATACATACGTATATATATATATATATATGTATGTATGTATGTATACACACCATATGAAATACTATGAATTACTACATAAGTCATTCAAATTGAAAATATATCGAGTTAAAAACATCCCTACCCCGAAATAGGGAGCTAGGCTTGAGGACCACACTTGAAATGTTGATGAGCTCACAAAACAATCGGTAAAAACGTTGATCTAAGCCTCCTTTCAACTTGAAAGATTTTGGGTGGATCTTAGGTTGAAATTAGAGAAATCTACAGTGGATGGGATAGGGTTTTCAGAAAAATAGAGTTAGAGAGAGGGAGAGTGTAAAAAGTGAAAGAAAATGAGTCAGGATCGACTTTTAAAATCTGTTGTCCCGACGAGTAACTTCCTTCGCTCGAGCACAAAGCAGAAATTTCTAAGGATCGCTTGAGTGACACTTCCGCTGCCCGAGCAAAAAATGAGAGGTTCCAAAAGTTTTGTAGAGCTACAATGAAAATATTGGGTGCATGAATTCTACGCTCGAGCGACAACTTCATTGCTCGAGCGGTCCTGCCTGTAAACTGACAAACTACTGGGAGCTGAAGATCTACGCTCGAGCAATAAAAGTGTCGCTCAAGCGGTCCAAAAAACCTAGGTGTCACACAAATTGTGCGAGGGTCATTCTATCAAACTGGGAAAAGTGTCATTCAGGCTCTCCAATGTTCCAATTAGTTTCAGAGATGAAATCTTGCAAATAGGGCCTCAGGTCCTAGAGCAAAGAAGCTGTTGGGAATATTCATGATCAAATCCAGCATCTCAAAGCCCTATTGGCTTCTACTCAAGCTCGCCCATCGATGGAAGATACTGCCCAACAGCAAAACCTTTTGAAGGTAGACTCAGAGAGGGCACTTAATCGAGAGGGGATATTCCTGCATTAGAGATCCTAATTTCGATGGTTAAATTATGGTGAAAAAATTCTAATTATTTCATGCCTCCATGATTTACCATCGCCAAAGAAACCAGATTTTGAGATTACAAAATGAGGAATAGACTTGGCTTGATTCTAAACAAGACATCAACAATCATCTTATGGAATATCTTTTAGATCTTTTTTGGAACAATAAAGCAAGAAACATGGATAGAGCCTTATCAATGGTGAACCCTACTCTAACTGATAAGATGAATCACCTGCTAGTCTGACCCATCTATGATTTAGAAATTGAATTAGCAGTTTACTAGCTTGGAGCAGTAAAAGCCCCTAGTCTTGATGGTTTTCCAGGATGTTTCTATAAAAAATATTGGGCTGAGGTGGGGCCTCAAGTTTGCACGGCTGTTCGTAGCTTTTTTCTTGGGGGGAGGGGTGGCTATCTTCTCAAACAGCTTAATCACACAAATTTGGTGTTGATCCCCAAAATGAGTAATCTTATGAAGCTATCACAAATTAGGCCCATTAGTTTGTGCAGCTTTACTCTTAAAATTATCACCAAGACCCTTGTGAACCATTTGAACCAAATTTTGAAGTCTTTGATCTCTCCAAAGCAATCGACCTTTGTACCAGGCAGAATGATTCAGGACAACTCCATAGTTGCCCACGAAGCATTTTATTTCTTGAAGCACAAGAGGGGAAATGATGGATCTGTGGCTATGAAATTGGATTTCAATAAAGCATATGATAGAGTTCAATGGGATTTCTTATTTGAGTTAATGCGCAGAATGGGCTTTCATCCACTATGGATCCAATGTGTTTCTGAATGTGTCACAACTGTGAGCTTTTCCATTTTTTTGAATGGTGAGAAAAGGGCTGCTTTTAAACCATCCAGAGGGCTATGCCAGGGGGACTTTGTCTCCTCATATTTATTCATTTTGGTTGTCGATGTTTTGTCAAAAATAATTAATAGCAGTCACTATAAGCGACAGATTTAGGGCCTCCGAATTACTAGACTTTGTCCTACTTTCTCACACTTACTTTTTGCGGATGACGTCTTGTTATTCCTTAAAGCAGAATAATCAGAGAGTTAGATAATTCTGAACATCTTGCGCACTTATTGTCAGATTACCGATCAGTTGGTAAACTTTGACAAATCAACTGTCCAATTCTCTCCTAATGTTCCTCTCCATCTCCGTGGTAGCCTTTGTGCTCTTTCTAGTCTCACGGAGACACTGGTTGGGACTAAATATTTGGGTTTTCCTACTTTTTGGGAAAGATCAAAGGCAGAAGCATATGGCATTATCACCGAATGGGTGCTATCAAAATTGCAGGGCTGGAAATTTAAATTGCTATCTTATGCAGGTTGAGAAACTTTGATTAAAGCTGTAGAATAAGCAATCCCTACATGTGCCACGGCTTGCTTCATTTTCCCAAGGAAGTTTTGTGCGAAGCTAAACTCATATATTAGTAAATTTTGGTGGAGAGGTGACCCAGAGGGGAAGGCAAGGGCATTCATTGGGCAGGTTGGGCCCAGATGACTTTGACAAAATTTGAAGGGGGTTTAGGATTTAGAGATTTCCACAATTTCAATTTAGCTCTGGTTGCTAAGCAGGGGTGGCGGTTGGTGAAATATCCGAACTCCTACTATGCAAGAATGCTTAAGGTTATTTACTTCTATCATTTCGGGGTGTTTGGAAGCCTCTCGAGGTCAATGTGCATCTTGGACCTGGGCAAGTTTGATCCACGGGAAGGAAATTTTGGGGAAAGGGCTTCGTTGGCAAGTTCAAAATGGGGCGTCAATTAGTTTTTGGGACAACAAATGGATTCCTACTGGCCAACATTTCCAATATTTTTTTCTCTTCCTTAAAGCCTCCCTCATATTCGATCAAAAAGGTAGAGGACTCCATTGATGATACTCACAGGTGTTGGAAGGTTGATGCTTTGAGGAATATTGTTTCGGTAGATGATGTTCAAGCCATTTGTTCTATCCCTATCTCCTTGGCCCACAAAGAGGATGAACAGATTTGGCACTTTGATAGGAACGGTACCTACTCGGTGAAGTCAGGTTATCAGGTGGTTAACAAGTCGAGAGAGCGTTCAAGGGCCCAGTCACCATCTTCTTCTTTTCAACTCCCTACAGATTTTTGGAACTTCATTTGGTCTCTATCAATCCCTCCCAAGATTTGCCATTTCTGGTGGCGGGTTTGGAAAATGTGCTAGCAACAAAGGAGAATCTTTATAGGAGAAAATGCAGCCCTTCTAACCTATGCCCTATTTGCTTTAAGCAAGTGGAGTCAATGGAGCACATGTTGTTTGGATGTACTTGGGTTAGGGCAGTTTGGTTCGGGAGTAAACTTAATTATAAAGTAGATTGGTGCTCCATTTCTTCGGTAATCCATTGGATATGTGCGGTCAAGGAAACCATCAAAAGCAAGGTATGCATTAGCTTCTTCAGTACAGTTGCTTGGATAGGGCAGTTTATTTGAAAGGAACGAAATGCTTGGATTTTTAACTTCACACCTGTTGACCCTTCTTCAACTTTGCAGCAAGTGCGTTTGGCTATGGAGGAACGCATGGTGGCTTTGTCTGTACTAGGCACCACAGAATGGTCTTCTTCTTTTCATCCCAATCCCAACCTTAAGTGGAGTCCTCCTCCACCTGCAGGCAGGTACAAGATCAATAGTGATGTGGTTTTTCTGAAGAGTTCCCGAGGAGCCTCTATTGCGGCCATTTTGTGGGACTCACAGGGCAAGATTTTGGATGGTTTGACCCGATCGATTCTTATCTCCTCTGTTCTTCAAGGTGAAGCAATGGCGTGCCGGTTAGCCTGTCAATTAGCTTCCTCCCGCAATCCCTCCAATCTTGAAATTTCGGGTCATAATAAACCAGTGATTTCCCTATGTGTGTCCGAATCGATTCCTCCTTGGGAGTGCGCTGCGGTTATTGACGATGTCCAGATTTTGGCTCAGCGTGGTGATTTCTCCTTTTTGTGCAACACCAGAACAGCAAACAAAGCAACTCATTGGATGGCACAATCTCATCTTCAGAATCTCCTCCCGTTAGATTGGGTGTCTAGACCGCTGCCTGGGATTGCTGCTTATTTGGCACATTTGTAGTTTCTTTCTGGTTTTTTGGTCTTATGATTTGTTTCCTTGTATTTTCCTTTGATCAAAAGATAAAATAAAATAAATAAAAAAGAGAATGCTGAGTCTTGTAGTCTTGCAAAAGTTATGACCAATATCATTGCATTTTAATCAAAATTCTATATAAGCGGTGGTGTTGATTGACGGAATGCATGCTCACAAAATTAACACAGATTGCCAAAAAATAATTTTGATAGCCAAACATTATTAATAAGATAGTAAACTACTTTGGACTATAAAAAAAAAAATCATGTCGTACTGATACGAAAATAGATTCATGTCCCAATTAAATATTTTAAAAAACAATTCATATCTATATCTACATTGTAGTTTTTATATGTAGCTGGAAAATTTTAGCTCTCAATTAAAAATATCACTATTTTGACCGCAATGAGATTCCATTGCCTAAAGTAAAATTTTACTAACAAAAGTGAAATTTCGAAGTGTGAAAATAATAAAAATTTATTGTTTGAGGTAAAATCATAGTGAAATTTTATTGATTTATAACACAGTCATTTATAATTTTTTCATTTTAGCCTATGCTTGGTTGGAGATTTGGGGAGGGATTTGAAAAGGCAAAGGGAAAGGGAAAGGGAAAATGCATGTAAAACTATTTGAAATGTAAGTATATTTTATTCACATTTCGCCTGCCTTTTCTTTTTCTCTTTCGAAATCTCCCAACCAAATACAGCATTAGAGTCCTTAATTAGAAATTTTTATTCCTAAATTTGAAAATAAGTATATAAATGTATAATTGGCCATCAATATTTAACAATTTTAACCGTCAATCACAGATTTCACTAAGTTGAACACATTGAAATTTCAGTGGGTTAAAAACAATGAATTTTCATTAAGTTCAGACAATAAAGACTGAGAAAACTTATGATTTTTTCTTTGAATTTTGTGTAAAGTGGAAAATTAGTGAAATTTCACAATTTGATTGGAGCAAGTTTAGTGAAATTTTCAATTTAAGTATTTTGGAGCCTCAAATTTGAATTATTTACTGTTAGAGCAGATTTAGACTTCACACTGCAACATTGTAGATAGGCACAAGGGAACCTATAATAGATTCCATATTTCAGAATGGCAGCAATAACATCCAAATGCCATCAAGCAGCCTTGCCGTGCCTTGCTAGACCAAAACTAACCTTAGTCAAAATAGATTTTCAATTAGCATCAGATCCTCTTTTTTTTTTACAGGAATATCTCCATAGACGAACATGTTTTTAGAACTAAAGGCAACTATCCCACCCAATATGATAGTCCCTTACATATGTATGCCAATTTGCAGTTAGAAACATACACGGCCACCTCCAGTATGCAGCATTGCATTAATCTCATAGCCATCCTCCATTTTAAGCTATTCCAAAAAAAATTGATAAAAAACAAAAAAACACAAAGGAGTACATTCTTTTTAGTACAATATGAGTAAGGTGTTGGGTATACCTCCTTATTGGAGTGTGGGACCAAATTGATTTATTAAAAGAGTTTTAATTTGGCTTGGTTTAGTATAATATATTTTCATATATTATATTTGTGGAGATCCAATTCAATTTGGACACAATTAGAATTTGTTTTACAAAACCAAAGATTCAATATATATAAATATATATATTGTCTTCGTTTTTGGCTGGGGGAAAAGAGGCGCAGCGGCTGCCTTACTTGATTTGTTTTTCCCGAAGTTGAGAAACACAGCAACAAACATTGATTTATGTGGGTGCACAGTGGGTTTGTTTCAGTTTTGTGTGGAAGTTGATTTGGTTCGTTATTTTGGGTCTTATTTAATTCTGGTTCAGAAGATTTTGGTTCATCTATTTGGTGAGGTCTTTCCTCTTTGTTTTTTTGTGATTATTTGGAATTCACCTAAGGGTGGTTTTGTGAGACCATTAGTGTCTCGTTTGTAATCATTTGGAACTTATTTGGTTGATAGTGGAATTGGATTTCGATCCCGTGGACGTTCCTCACATTGAGGGAACCACGTAAAAATTCTTGTGTTGCCTTTGATTTAATTTTTCCGCATTAGTTTTTATTCCCATTGATTGATTTACTTGTGGGGAATCACATCGATTTTCCCTAACATAAGGAACTTGTGTTCTCTTGTTTGGTTGAGTTTAGAGCCACAAGCTTCAACTTGCGAGCAAGAGGACATGAACATCTATCAATAGGCCGGAAGATATAATCAGACCCCATTAATCCGGTTTAACCAAACAGAAAAATACCTCATCTGGAGTTTGCTCTATGCGAAGTCGACATCCATTGAATAAGAATGCAACGGAGTTGCACTCCACCGACTGCGGGTCACAGTAAGCAATCATGGGCTTCCGTTGTTGAGTGCTAAAAATCGAATGCACCCCGCAGATATTTTCCTGAATTAGTCCAAGATTCCACTATCAATACAAAAAATCCAGAATCCCATGCCAGGTCCCATAATCACCACTTTTCTTTTCTTAATTTTTCTTATCACTAATTCATTATTTTATTTTCTTTTTTCAATACTTGGTGACCAGCATATAGAACAGTTGATTCCGAACTCAAAAATTTGTCAAAATCCTGAACAGACTGCTATTCATGGCACTAACTCCATACCAATAGGCGCTCAACTGGATAATGCCCAGGGATTTCTATTCTATATCTACAATCAAGATCCCAAATATTTTTTTGATAGACAATCATGATCTCAAAATTACTGATATATAAAATTGACTAAACAGCCAATCGATTTGCAGATATTATTGGCATATCCTACATTTACTAGCATTGCCTGTACTATTTATCTCATTGTAGTAGTTAATAGGAACATTGAAGACTTAATTTTGGTAAAAAAATAAAGCTAAAAAATATAAGCCTGAAAGAACAGACTTACGCAAGTTAAGAGATCGACATTAATGGAGCAAGAGGAGATGAAACATCTATCTCAATAACTTTAGAATCTTTTGTAGGAGATGGTTTTACATGTTCCTTTATATTGGAGATTAATTTTACAAATCCAATGGTTAAGTTCAAATAAGATCTTCATTGAAACCTTTTGCCATTGGTAATTGTCACGATCCAAACCTACCGCTAAATGGTCCATGACCGGCCTCTACTTGGCCTCCAACTAAACTTCAAATAATATCTATTCAAATACGAGGCCTTAAACGGAAGCATATATCAAAATAATACTGTCCATTGAGCTTGTGTCTACATGCCATGATCATTATACAAATTATACATATACATATAAGCTAGTTCACGTCATGTAGGTATATACAAGGGTTAGTAACCAAAACTTTTGCAAAGTAGTCGCAGGCTTGACAAAAGCTACCAAAAACTTGGCAAAACATGTGATGTCAAAAGGGACCAAGCAAAAAGCTTCAATTGTGGAGGCTAAACACAACAAACCACCAAAAAGGGCTCCTGGAGCTGACCTAGGGCAGTTCTCCAAGCTGTTCACCTACATAAACAGGTATAGACAAAACGAAGTGAGCAGGGCTCAATGAATAATAATAATGTAAAGAGATTCATGTGAATAAGCATGTGTCTTAGAGAATATTTATCTAACATTTATGTGTTCCCTTCGTCATATTCCAAGATGGTCTCGGGCCCACAGGAGACGGAACAACCTAAGGTCCAACATGTGACAAAACGGCCTCGGGCCCAACATAATACAAAACGGCCTTGGGCCTAACATAATACAAAATGACCTTAGGTCCATGTCATTGCCATTTGAATCATTCCCATCAAACCATAACCCACATGATGTATACCATTGCAATAAACACAATTCGTATCCAACAAAATACATAAATCCTAGCAGTACTCATCCCAATTATGCCATTCACAATCATAATATGCAAACTATAGCACAATGATTCCAACACGCCAAGTATAATTAAGGTATAATAATTTAGAAGCAGAAATACAGGAATAGATATACATCATTACACTATTATTACTCACAGTGCTTTGGTCACGTGGGAGTCTCCTCCGGCAAGTGACCTACACAAAGCACACACACACAAAACTTATAAATTATTCACTTTTTCCTTAGTCTTTCCTCTTTACTTATTGTTTGATTCGTTAAGTTTTGTTCAATTATAAACATTGTAGAAGAATCAAATGGACATTTGAACACATTCAGAGGGTCGAGAAGGGTAAAAGAAACCAACAGAATTTTCCCTCTTCAGCCGCACGTGCGGGAAGGTGTGCCACATGTGCCTTTATTTCAGTATGCAATCTTTGGTCTCCCCTGTTTTCCGCATGTGTGGCTGAGCCCCGCACGTGCGGCCATGGATGCTGCACGTGCGGTCGTAGGCTCTGTTTGAGCAGTCCGAAACTTCAACAAATTTCAAGCTTTCAAAGGTATTCGTATGGCCCAAATCAAGCAAAATTCATTTCATAACATAACATATAAACATGACAAACATGAAACCTATACTCAAATGGGTCATAACTCATTTTACTTTGACATTTATAATTCTAATTTCCATAATTCCTTCATCATCTTCTTCATCTTGATATATATACAAACATATACCTACATATATGTATGAGTTCAAAACATGCCAAGAAAACAAAGATGAAAAGGTAGTGACCCACACCCTAACTCAAAACAACCCAAAACACAAGAATCAACCCTTAAATTAGCCAAATCCAATGACTACCTCTTCAATTTCATGAAATTGGTTAAGTTGAGATCATAACCCAAAACCCTAACTCCCATACATATAGAAAACTTCATTTTAAGGTTTAATTCTAACCAATTAATTAAAGATTTAGGGTATTTAAGACTTACTTTGACCTATCTTCTTGATTTTTCCTTCCAATTTCTCAAATCCACAAGCTTTAAGGTGAGCTCTCTCCTTCTCTCTCTTTTCTCTTCTTCTCTCTCTTATCCAGGAGATGTTTTTGGTGTTTGGTTGAGTCTATACAACATATAAGGCTCAAAAATATATATAAACAAGTCTATGTATCCATATGGCAAACCAAACCTAACTTAGTGAATCGGACGAAATTAATTTTCAATTAAACTTCGCATATGACTGATCATAATTATGTATTCTGTTCTGGTTTCTGAAGCCTCCAAGTCCTTCAATTTGCAGTGC